GGTGGCCCTGCATGTGGCAGGGGGGTTGGAGATTCATGATCCTTGAGGTCCCTTCCAACCCTGGCCATTCTGTGATTCTGTGAACATCATTCTTGTCTCAGTTACAGTTAAGGTGTGAGTATCATGAAGTGCTTTGCCATCCTTGGGCAGAAGTGTTCTGTATTTGTAAAGCGTTGCATGTTTGTACCTTGAGGAAAAAGGACAGTTAAGTACCGAGCTGTTTCCTGAGTTCTGGTGCGCTTTTCTGAAATACTAAAACACTTTCTCAGGTTTGTCAGTTAATACCTATTGTCTGTGTTTTCTTCTACAGGAAGAAATACGAAAAGAATGGATGTTTAAATTGGTGGGTAAAGAAACATTCACTGTTGGAGCATCCAAAACAAGAGCTACGATTAACATTGATGCAGTCAGTGGCTTTGCATATGAGTATACTTTGGAGATCAATGGAAAAAGTCTCAAGAAATATATGGAGAACAGGTCAAAAACAACCAATACTTGGGTACTGAGCTTGGGTGGTACAGACTATAGAGTTGTTTTGGGTAAGTAAATATGGAATGACTTTACTTTGCTGTTTTCAAAAAAGCCTGTATGCATTTAGCAATTGGTAATTAAAAGAAAGCACAGTTCAGTGGTGTATGGAAACAGTTCAGTCATGACCTGAATCACTGAGCATCTGTGGAAAGGACCTGGTCAGCCATGGGAGCACAGGTGAAGGTAATTCAGGTGTGCAACTGAAAGGGGTAGAGCCTGGCTGCACATCTCTTAGACCTCATTTAAGGGCTGACTGCCATGGGGGAAGGATCCCTTTCTGGAGATTCTTCTTGGGTGAAGCTTTTCCCTGTGAATCTAGAGTCTTCTGATATGGGTGAGCAATCTTTTTCCTTTTCTTTATAGCACCTTTCTATTGTGCTGGTTTTTCTGTCATCATACCTTTGTTGCAGTGCCTTTCCTATTGTACTGATCTGTCCAATTGCTACAAGTGGCTAGTACTATTGCAGTGTAAAACCTTGTGTGGTCTGGAGAACACTGGAAGTAGATTCCAAAGACAGAAAAATGGTAATCTTGTTATATCTGTGTAGTTTTATACAGCACTGTTGTTTGTTAACTCAGTAACGAGGATTTCCCTTAAAAACAATAAACCAAAGTTAAGGAGTCATGAAAAGAAGTGTGTCAGTGTCACTCTTTGTTTTTTTTATAGACTAATCAGCATGCTGTTTTCTGCACTGCTGCTTAACTATGAACTTAATCCATAACCTTCAGATAATGTTTTTATACTTTCTTGGTTGCAAGGTTATACTCTTTTTTTCCTTTGCTCCCTTGCCCAAAGTATGTTAGAAGATGGGAGGAAGAGATCCACAGAGGAATTTGTCCAGGCATCTAGTGGTGAAACTTCCACTTAGGTATTGCTGTATACATGGGCACAAGACACGCTGGACTGTTTTTTCTTTTTGAGCCTAAGGATAGAATGAACTGCCCTGAGATAAAGATGCTGGGGGGGAAGAAAGGCAGTTCCAGTGCCAAGAGATAGCCTAGTATCCTTCTCTCCATAATTACTTAAAAGACAAGCAGTACTCTGCTCTCTGTTATGTCACAAGGACATTTTCTGTAATGTTAATTTTAGAGTCGAGTATTTATTCATAGCAAAAATTGTTTGCCCACTTGTGGCAGAGCCTTCTGTCTCTCCAATGTAAGAACAAACTATGTAGCTCAGGTTATTTAGGACCTTCTCCGGGGAATTAAATATAACATCAAAGAGTAAGCTTGTAAAATCCTTAGATTGTCATAGGAGAAGGGGGGAGAGTCCTTTCTACTTTATTTTTTCTTTCATTCACAGAAAAGGACACAATGGATGTGTGGTGCAACGGTAAAAAAATGGAGACAGCGGTACGTGATCATTTCCACAGGTTTTTCATAGACTATGGCTCTAATATAACCAAAGTAAGCCACAGTGCTTATCTGTGTCATGCTCACTAAGCCACAGCAAGGAGTATGTTGCTTCACTTGGGTGTGGAGCGTGGGTAAACCTCTAGACCTGCATGCTGATGATCTGTTCTTTGCTGTATTTATTAACAGAATCCTTTGTCTCCTGGATTACCTGTTAAGATGCCAAAAGTCTGTCCGTATAAGAATATACAGTGCTATACTTCTCGGACAAATGAATCTTCTGGGTCAGTTGTCCAGGGTTTCTAGTGAGAAAATGCTCAGGAGAGTGGGAGGGACTTAAGTTTGATGTGGACTGTAGAGCCACCTCAACCAGACCTGCTCACCTTAGTGGTAACTGAAAGCTGAACACCTGTGCTCTTTAATGGCTGCTGCTTTTTGTCCGTTTAGAGGTGATTCCTAAGCACCTCAGGCTTAGTTCATGTTGCTGGAGCGAATAAAATCTTTGTCACATCTGCATTAATATGCATAGCAGATAGACACTTAAAACTCTTAATGTATTTGATGTCTTTTCACTTTATGAAGGTTTTCATTATGCATACTATGTAGTCTTCCCCATCCCTGGAGGGTGCATTTTCTCACCGGAGCTGGCACTATGGTGGATGCATACTCCAAAATGAGAAGTTAGGTAACTGCATCTACAAACTACAAAGGGGAAGTTAGGAGCTGTGCATCTAAACTGCACAGCATGTGCTCAATTTGGGGATCTGTTCATCCTGCTGCAGAGGGCACCAACAAACTGATGGTGTGAAACGTTGGTTGTCCTTTGAAAACCCAAATTCTTTAACTGGCAGCGTGAAGCTCTGCAGCTTTGTTGAGCAGCTGCCTATGGCTGCAGTGATTACGAGAGCTGCACGTGACCGTGACCTGGAAACAGGTGATGCTTTGAGTGGTTATTTTACTGAAAAGGGCATCTGTTTTTATTCTTGTCTCCTTTCTTCTAGGGTGAATTCGTAGAAGATGGGACAGAAACTCACTTCAGTGTTGGTGATCACAGCTGTTACATTAAGGCTGTCAGTAGTGGAAAACGAAAGGAAGGAATTATTCACACACTTATTGTGGATGACAGAGAGATCCCAGAGGCTGTGGAGTAGCTTCTAGTTAACTGATTGTTTTAGGTCTCAGATCAGGTACTTTTAATTACTGTGGTAATTATTTAAATAAGAGGCATTTGGATAATGCCCTCAATAACACACCTCAGCTTTCAGTTAGCCATGCAATGGTCAGGCACTTGGACATACAGATCATTGTAGGTTCCTTCCAGCTGAACTATTCTACTGCATGTAGAACACATGGTACATCTAGTTTGTGCTGGGTTCATTTCCTAGCTTCTGTACATGAAACTCATCTTTTTGAGGACCAGATAAACATAACTATGTACAACACTTTGCAGTACCAGTTTTTAAAAAGCTACATAGGGAAATAAGTATTATATCGCTAAGTAGAGAGGGCAGGTGAACTTAAGTAGAAATTGTATGCTAGAAAAAAAACCCACAATATTCAATAATACTGAATACTTTATGTGGAGGGAGAACACATGCTGAGCTCTGGAGAAAGCTGTTAAAATTCTCCCTATTTTTTCTTTTATGTACTTCCAATGTTCTTCAAATGCAGTCAGTTACATAAATTAATAAAAAAGGTTATTAAAGAAATATATTTTTACCAGTCCTTGTGTAACTGTATTCAAATTTTACTTAGCTATGAAAACTGTTGTTTATTCACAGTAGGAAGAAAGGTGATATGCTGTGCCAAAAATATCCCAAAGGTATTTTGTAAAATGATGGTTGTTCTGAAGTTCTGTACCCTCCCATCCAACCAAACAAGAAGTTTTCTGCCACGGTCCTCCTTTAAAAAATGAAACCTCTTGAGGCAAGCTGACATTAGAACCTCTTCACTGTAGCCTAACCTTTAATCTAGAGCTGTCTGTAGGTAATTGTGTGTGGCAATTCTGGCAGTTGTGTGTGAATAAGGAAACGAGGAAATGCAGGTCAGAACTGGAGAAGAACTGACTGCTGTAATGGGAAAGTTAAGACAGGAACAGAATATTCTCAAATTCCAGCTGCCTCAGGTGGTTTTTAGAAGCTATGTGTGGGGGAGGCACGAGGCACACTGCCACTTAACATTGCCTTAGGCTCACCTTACAAAAGGGACCTGTTTTGTGACAGCGCAGACATAAGTCACTTTTAAAAAATAATGGTTTTATTTAAGAGTATCATTTTGCAGCGGTCCAAAGAACTTTTTCCACTTAAGACTTTTTCCCTCCAGACTTCAGAATTAGACTTTTATAACTTATTTTCTTTGGAGTTTGTGACCATTATGAATGCTATTTTAGGGACTGCAAATAAAATACAAATGTGCTTGGAACTCATTAGCAATTTAAAGAAAAAAATCTTATTTAAACATGGATCACATCTATGTTTTAGGGTTCAGAAGCTCTGTTAGCACAATCTCATGGGCTTTTTTAATAGTTTTGTGCAGGCCCTTCTCCCCAGATAATTAGAGTTTTAACCATATGTGACTTTTCAGTCTAAAAGCAGACCTGATGTTGACTGACAAGCCCTTGTTTCTGCATTACACCACTGTTACAACCAGATGAGGTGTTCAGATGAACCATAAGTAATGGGTTTAAATTCTTTGGATTGTACAACTCACAAAACTGTGGAATGGCAAATCTGCTAATAGCTTTTAGTTTCAGACAGTGGATTTGTTTTAAACTCTCCTAACTTCAGGCTTTACTGCAGAAAGTTTTAGAATTCCTGAGAGCTGGACTGAATCCTTTTAAATTGAAATTAGAATAATAGCTCTTGGGCATTTACTGCCTTCAAGTTGCTGTGGAAGTAGTGTGGACGTACCTAGCTATGGTAAGGGTGAAATGATCTCTACAACATATCAGTAAGGCACCTTATTGGAGAGCAATTTGGAGTCGTGGTTTGAACTGTTTCTCTACCTGCGTGGTAGCCATTCAGAAAGATTGAACAGCACTGGGAAATCTCAACCTCAAATATGGTTCAAGTCCCATCTTTAAATACTATGAGGAAAAATAACAGATAAGCTGATAGTATTATTTGTACTCTTTATTTTGAATATATGAATCTATACTGCTTCAAATCTCTTAACTAATAAAAACTAATAGCAACTACCGTTAGAAATCTTGAAGAACTGCCTCACGTTTGTCATAACTTTACTGAACAACAAATCCTGAGGTGGAAAACAGCATTCACTTGATGCTTTCATACATCAGGGTGCATTCCCAAGTGTAAGAATCAAACCAACCTGGATTTCTTGGGTTTCAAAACTATATGCAGTACCTTTAGATTAAGACAGCGTCATGAAAGAAAGAAAATGCAAACCTGTAAGATAGTCACATGCTTCACATGCTAAGAATACTATAAGACATATAAACAATTTTAAACTAGTTTATGATGTTTTCCATTCATTTTTAATTCTAGATCACTTTGTCCTAATCTCCTTAATCTTATCAGCTTACTTTTCCTCAAGGCTGTTTCAGAGCTGTCAAGAGGCCCTTACATCACAGCATGTGAGTAGGCAGAGCACCCTCTTGAAATCTAAGCAGTAGAGTTTGTTCTGAGGGGGGCATCCCAAGAGCCACAGTTCTGACTAATTTCTCCTCAGGTCGCTGCTGGTTTCCTCAGAGGTCCGTGGGACTCTCCTTCACCTGGGAGCAAGTCAGCAAATAACATGGAAGGGCTTGAAGACTGTTGCAAATGACAAAGGTGTCAGGATTGCTTATGTCATCTACTAAGCTGTCATAAAACATACTGGCATCTCCTTCCACTGCTGGTGGCATAATGTAAGACTGCTTGCCTTTAGTGTATAACCCTGTTAGTACATCAGCCTCAAACACATAGATTTTAGAGTCTGTTTCCTTCCCGTCATCCTCGATTAGGCTGTTTGGGTTCCTTTTGAAGTAGATGCCAGCTCCGTATCTTTGGTCTGGAAAAGAAACAAAAAAAATATTAAGGAAAAAAGTCTTTAACATTTGGTTCTTTTTTTGGAGTGGTAGCACTGAAAGTTTGCTTCTCATCAGGCTGCTGAATATGTGCATGTGCAGCAAGTAAACAGAGATTTGGACCTTCTTTAAAGACTGCTGCAACAAAGTAAAACTTGGCCGTGGCATTATTTGTACGTTAACAATTTTGCAAACGTTGGTTGGGTTAGAAAGGAATCCAGGTATATCTTCCCAGAGCCTTGCTGACTGCAGTGTCAGGACAGAAAGCAGTAAGCTCATAAGACTCTTAATGCTGGTAAGAAGCAGTTCTGGTGCAGCATAGTCGTTATTTCTGATTTTAATCCAACTTCAGCTGTCAGTCACTGTTTGTTTTGATTAAAGATGTCGAGGCAAATTTTATTACCTGTTGGTGGAGAATATATCCTGTGAAATCCAGTTTGGCATACCAAGGTACAGAACTGAGCAGGAACACGCTGGTATAACTTGTGGGAGCCTTTGGAGGTAACTCCTTTTTCTTCTAGATTTTTTTTCATTTGTTGGAATGCAGCAGATAGAAGGGGATTGTGTATTTTTTCAATCTGTAACACAAATAAGCAAACAGACAATTACCCATGAAATGTGCAAGTGCTCTTGTTCAGGCTATGCACTCCAATGCAAGAAACTGATTTGGGTTGTATGCATTGAGCAGCAAGCAGGTAAGGTATCTGAAGCGTGCAGCCAATCCCCAAAAGAACCATGCCACTATCCAACACCTCTCACTGAAGTCAGTTGAAAGCAGTGAATATATGTTTTGAGAACTTGCATTAAGTTCAGATATCTCAGTTGAGATTTAATTTTGCCATGTATGCCTTATTTACCTTAAGGATGTGAAGCCCAGTCCTTTCAAACTGTTTCTGTCTGTCCTTAAATGCCTGAAGGTGTGAGTCTACCTGTAGCATTTGAAACTGTCTAGTAGAGTTTGTCTTGTCAAGGTGTCCTTCTGAAAGCTGATCTGTGTCTGGTTGGCCTGGAAACAAATAAGGAAGTAAACCAGTTATGGTAATAGCTGAAGCGAAGGCAATGTGGAAGGTTCCAATACTCCTTTTGGTAGTTCAGTGAAGAACAAGGAATGTTAAATATTCTTCGAAGTAATGCCAGAGATTAATATTGAGAGGAAACTATGTGTATATTCATAATATTGTTGCTGTGAGTTGCTGAGGGCATAAAGCTAGCAACTGGGCTTTCAAGGGCTTGTATGGTGAAAGCATGGTATTATCAGCAGTTAACCTAGTGTTCAGTGAATTGAGTGCATGTCTGTCCACTCTCAGCAATACACAGGTATAAGCTGCTGCTTAATTTACCTTATTTATGTGCTTATTTACTTAATCACTGGTTGACTTTACACACCCGTTAGTTGCAGCAGTTCCTCTTGTTTGGCTGTAGTATGCTTTTGCATAAAAAGCAGTAATTTTTCAGTTGCGAGCACTGCATCAATCACAGCATCTGGGGGTCCATGAAATTCCAGGCTTGCTTTCCCATCTTTCACTTTTTCTGACACAGACACACTAGAATGTTTCACTCGAGATAGTTCTGCATATTCCTTTGTACCAAGGCTAAAAATGTAGTTGTTTTCAATGACAGCAGAGTGACTTTCCTGAGTTTGTATCAAGCTTTGGATCCATAATTCTGCTGCTTTCAATGAGAAATGTGTCTTCCCCTGAAGTTCAATGGCCAGTTTATTATCTGTAGTCTCCTTTATGCCTTGACTGCTTGACTCTGTACCTGGAACAAAAGAGTGAAGAACTTTCAAGTGCTGTCATCACAAATTCCTATATGTAATCCCAAGCATGCAGTCAAGAAACATTCTGCTCTTCTGATCTGCTCAAAAAGGTGGTTAGATACCAGAAGATTTCCTTGAAAACAACAAAGCAACACATAGAGTTTTGTGGGATTTTTTTTGCATTCCTTTAAATGAATCCAACAGGTTTGGCTAGGGCTGGTGTTTGTTTTTTTTTTTTTTTTTTTGCTTGAAAGACTTCTAAAGAAGTGACCAGCTTCATTCCTGTCAATGTAAAAATGACAGGTCTCAAGTGATACTGACAAGTAGTGCCAAAATTAACAATGACAGCATATCCTTCTGAAATTTTGCTTTGGAACAGTAAGATATCTGGTATATTTTTTTCATAAGCAGGAAGTAATCTGTGCTGTTACACACTTTATTCATACATATCCTATATTATGGCTGAAGTGACTGCATGACTTCTCTGTTCAAACTTTTCCTACAGCAGTTACATCACTTTGGTGACTTCTAATCAAACATAAAGGAACTTCACTTCTCTGAACCGAAAATTTAGCCATAAGGTGATCCATCACATGCAGTCATCAACTCCACTGACTGCCATCAAGGTCCTAGCCAAAAGCAGAGCTATAACAGAAACCTAGTGGTAGTAAGCCAAGGGACTTGTGTCTTGGCACTGTATTTCTCACATGCTCACATCTTCTTTGCTTGTGACAATTAATGCAGTTACTAAGTTGTTTGTAAAGGAATGTGATTTCAGATCCTTAGATCTGGTCTGCTCATTCACTTGAAACACCCCCTCTGTTCATTACTTACTCAAATAATCACTTCTGTTGTTATTCTTTTCCAGTTTGCTTGCTGCTAAATTCATTTTTTCCTGGAAAATCTTGAAAGAGAAAAGTTTAGGAGCAGTTTGCAACCTATTAGTCTCTTCAGAAATCTGTTAGATAAGCAGTTGGCAGTTGTAAGCAATTCTGATGTTACAGCTAATATTTGTCAGCTTTAGCCAGAATTTTATTTCTGACTCTTCAAATGCGCTGTTGCAATTCCAAGTCCCTTAAGGTAACACATGCACACATTAAACAGCACCTTTCCCAATCCCCCATGGCTCTGGTGTCACATGGAGCTCACAAAGCCACAGCAGATGTAATTACATTATTTGCAGGTTAATGTTAATGAATCTTTACTCAGCTTTAAAACAGAGTGTGCCCCCTTCCTTTGCCTCAACACTCCTCGTTATGGAAGTTTGTGAGAAGCCCTTCTCTGATAGAGACTTCAAACAAAAATATCCCTCAAAGAAATGTGCTGATGAAGAATATGCTTACTCCCTAACTAGCATAGTTAAGAGTAGACTCCTTGCCATAAAACTGCTGGCAGATGTGACATATTCAGAGCTCTCTCTCCCTACTATCAGGTCACAGGGTGATGACAGGTTAGTGAGGAAAAATATTTGTGAAGAATAATATCTCATGCTGAGAGGCAAGTAGTTTGCTGAGGAAATAGCCACTCACAAGTGTTATAAATAGCATGGAATTCACATTATTTTAGCTTGTAGTCATCTGGAATATTTTTACAGTTATTTTGGGTTCAACTTATCGGTAGTTAGCAAGAAATGTATTACTTGATAGGTAGCGTTGTCATCTGGGCAAAGGACGAACTGCACATCTATTTTCTTCTCAGGATATTTCCTGGCAAATTCTAACACCTCTTCAATCATGGTCTCTGCCACCGTAGCCTCAGGCAGCATCAGTGACCAATTCTTTTCTGGAAAGGAAATTGAGGGCGATGGATAATCCCGAACAAAACACAGGCAATTGTTAACTGCCTCCTTCAGTTGCTGCAGGAAAAAGAAGTGGTTTAGTCCTCACATCACTCAATGTTAAAATCTTCAATTAAAATCCAGTCTAACTGATCCTCACCTCGCACAGTAGTACCACGTGGTTAAATTGCGGCCATATGACGTGAAGTACAAACTCACAGGGTAGATTATACCCTTTTGTTACTATTATCTCCTTATAATAGGAGAAATGCTTCAGCTGAGACAGAATTTCCTCCTGAAGGGCTGGGCCTGCTTTTTGCAGCATTGGTGTTGAGATCTGAGAGCAAAACGTGCCATCCAAAGACACAGAGCTAACAATAGCTGTAGTCTAGAAGGAAAGAATTCAAAGTTTCAGGAAACTTCAAGTTTACTACTTGTAAGCTTAGAATAAAGGTACCTCTTTAATGTAAGTTACATTTACTAAAAGCAAATGCTCTTCCTGTGATGCAGCTGTCAGTCCAATGCCTCTGTTGGAATACTATGACTAAGCTCACATCTTTTGCATCAAATTTTCTGTCCAGCAAATTAAATGCATCGATTTGAATGTTGCACTGTTTAAAGGTAAGGTGCACATCATCGCCTTGCAAGTTATTTTCAGCTGACAGCTGTAAGAATATAAAATACAGAAGACAAGACAGATTTAACTTCTAGGGAATGCGTGGTAAAATGAGAACTCCTACGATGTTATTAGAAGATTAAACATAATATATTTATTACTAATCATCCAGTATTTTGCTGCTTACTGTAATCCCATAGTAGCATGTATGCTAGAAAGAAACAATGCTATTAGAAACAATTCTAATGCTCAGTACCCATTTTAAATAATAACTGTTTGTGGACAGCATTTTTTTACCCTTTCTAAATTCTCATCAAACTGAGTGGGCCAGTACAACGCGTGTTCTGCCCTTTGAGGTTCCAAAGCCTGCAGAGACTTGGAGGCAGCTCTGTGTTCGTCATGTTGCAGGACAGACTTACCTTTTGATCTTCAATGTGTCCCTTTATGATACGCAATTGAGTATTTCCATGTTTGATGACAGGTGCAGGCAGGCTTAGTGAAGCTGGAACAGTCTCCTGCAGCGAGCTGCCTTCACCCAGAAACATCTCACAGGCCCTTTTTATTTCTGCTACCGTACGCTCACAGATGTTCACCAGATGGATCTCCTTGAGGCAGCTTGGCGTAGTCTCAACAAATAGCTTTATAGATATTACAATCACTTGAGCACACAAGTTAAGTGGGAAGCCAAAAACCCCTGAGCTCATTGCTGGGATAGCCACAGACTCGATGTTGTTTTTTGGGTCACTGGCGTACTTCAGAACATTCACAACAGCTTCCTCAAGTAGAACACAACATTTATCCTTTTCACATGGGTACCACCTTGGACCAACGGCGTGGATAATTTTCTTACACGGAAGTTTCCCTCCACCTGTCACTGCTATTTTGCCGGTTGCGACTTTCCCATATTTTCTAATAAGACTTCTGCTTTCCTCTACTATTTCTGGCCCTCCGGCATTCACAAGAGCTAAAGCAAGACCTCCTAAATGGTCCAGGCTTTCACTGGCTGCATTCACCACAGCGTCGACCTTGTGACTTGTAAGATCACCCTTATAGACCGACAGGTGAATTCCCTGCTTTAACACTTTTCTGTATACTTCAGCAGCACATTTTGTACAGGTCACTGTACAGGCAAACTTTTTGTAAGTGAGATTACGTAGACTGTTCTCTCTTTTCTTAAGAACTTCGTAAGTATCTTTATTGATGGGGATTGTCACGGTGCCCTCATCCATTCTTGGCCCTAGGACATAGAATAATATAAACTCAGATCCAGTAAACCACTGACAAAACTTTTTATACATATACGAAAGCATTTTAGAGCTCCACATTTTATTATTGTCATTGCACACTAGTATTTTTTTATAGTATGATCTTTCGTCTCCCTTTTTCAAAGGCTTAGAAAGCACAACCAAGCAAAGAAATCAAAATACACAGATTGAGGACCTTGTTGTATGGGAAGGACTACACTAATAAGGCTATGCTTGCTCCACTTCGGTACCTTTTGTTCGCAATTCCATCCATGTCACCACTCCATCTGGTAGCTCCACCTTTCCTCTCAAGATTCCTCACAAGTGAAAAAGCTTTTATTTCTGGTCTAAATCTCCTCTCCTTTAGTTTGAAGCCCTTTTCCTTTATCCTATCACCACAAACCCTGCTAAAGACTCAGTGCCTTCCTTCTTACAGCCCCCTTTTAGTTACTGAAAGGCCGCTCTCAGCTCTCCCTGTAGCCTTCTCTTCTCCAGGCTGAACAGCCCCAGCTCTCAGCCTGTCCTCATAGCGAGGTGTTCCATCCCTGGGATCATTTCTGGGGCCCTCCTCTGGACATGCTCCAACAGCTCCACATCTCTCCTGTACTGAGGACTCCGTTTCTGGATGCAGTGCTCCAGGTGAGCTCTCACAGCACAGAGCAGAGCAGAGGGGCAGGATCCCCTCCCTCGGCCTGCTGGCCGCACTGCTTTTGATGCAGCCCAGGACACGGTTGGCTTTCTGGGCCACGAGGGCACACTGCTGGCTCATGTCCAGCTGCCATCCACCAGTACATCCAGGTCCTTTTCAGCAGGGCTGCGCTCTGTCCTTTCGTCCCCCAGCTGGTATTGGCCCTTAGCTCTGTTGAACCTCGTGCAGTTCTCCTGGGCCCACTGCTCAGACCTGTCTAGGACTCTCCGTGCTGCTTTCAGCTGTTCCATGACATCGCTTTCCAGTTGCAATTTTCAGTGAAACACAGCTGCCAGATGGCAAAGGGAGAGGCTTACCTGGACCGCGCTTGTCTTCCGGGCTCTCTGACTGTTGGCTCTGCCAGAAAAACAGCACAGAGAAAATACGTTACCGTACACGGCACCGAAGCCGCGCGGTGGGCACGCGGAGCCGGGCAGTTTCACCTCCCCAGGACAGCGGCGCTGCTCCGCAGCCCGAAGCCCAAGCGTTCCTTGGGGCGCGGCGAAACGCGGAGCCGGGCCGGGAGAACCGCCTCTCAGCCGCAGGTGAAGCTCCTCAGGCTGCACCACCCCCAGGCGGAAGCGGCCTCGGATGGCCGTTCTGCAGCCCGGGCCGGCTGCGTCCCTTCTGCGCCCAGCGGCTACGCCCGGCACCCGCCCGCCCGCCGCCCCGCACCCGGCTCGGCCCTCACCGGCCGCTGGCTGCTCGGCTCCCCGGGCCGCTCTCCTACCTGGTAGATGCCTGTCACCTCAGCGTCGCCGCCGCTCTCCGGAGGAAAGGGGCCCTGGGCGGGGAACCGAGGGAAACGAAAGCGAAAGCGGGCGCCGGTCGGTCGGCACCATGGCGGTACCGCTGCTGGTGCGGCTCTGCCCCGCGCCCGACGGCGGAGAGAAGGTGATGCTGAAGCTGCAGAGCTACTTCCAGTCCCCCAAGCGCTCGGGGGGCGGCGAGTGCGAGGTGCGGGCCGGCCCCGAACCCGGCACCTATCGGGTGTACTTCCAGCACGAGCAAGGTACGGCCGGGCGGGGGGTGCGGCATGGCAGCCGAGAGGCACCATCTTGTGGGTGGGCGAAGGGTCCCCGCCGCCCTTCTCACGAGGCTTTATCGCACCTCCAACGCCCGCAGATAAGCAGAGAGTGGAGTCCCGCGCGGATCACGTCTTGGAGCTGGGGGGCAAAGTGCTGAAGGTCGTCCTGCAGCCCTTGGAAGTGGCTCGGAGCAAAAGCCCCGCCGTGGTGCAGGCAGACCGCGGCCAAGCCCAGCACCTCTCCCCGCCGGGATCTGCGGAGCTGCGAGCGACTCAGGGACACCGGGATGGAGCAGCAGAAGTGCTGACCAAAAAGGTACATCGGGGAGAGCCGTGTGGAGCAGCACCGCTGTGCCGCCGGTGTCCTGCACGGCCGGGAGGGAACGCCGAGTGCTTTATCGTGCTGCTCTCCATCACGGTTCAGTATGTCAGAGCACTGCTCACCCGTGCTGGCTTTGTCAATACTGCGGGGAGCGACTTCAGAGTGCTCTGCCACAACCCATCTGCACGTCAGCATAAAGCACATTCCCTAGCATGGTTCTGGCATTGTCAGGTTTGGCACAGCAAAGACTGCTCCCAGTGGTGAGACCTCTAAAACTATGGCAGAGTACCTCAGTCTTACAAAAAACCTGCTCTCGCAGACAACAAATGGCCTTTCAGACCCTTTGAACTAAAAGTCATGCAGAAGAGATCGGCTGTGTCCCGGGGTAAGCCATAGAGCTGTGCTCTGTGCTGTGTGAGGCTGCCATGGCTCTGCCAAGACAGATATCTGGCCCACAGAGCTTGTCCTGCTCTGCATAGTAGCACAGATGAAGCTTTTGGAGCATGGCGTGCAGAACATATCATAACTACTTACATGTACATCATTTTTGTATACCCGACATAAAAGAAACACTATACAAGTTTGTCAGTACTAATGTGGCCCCATGCAAAGTTGCATTGAGCTTTTCCTTACTCAGAACTTAGAAGTACCAAGCTGAGAACCTTAGGAAATGTGTGTGTGTATATATATATGTATATATATTTAGATATCTTCTTGTCTTCTCTTCAGATTTTTCTTACAGTGTCCGCAGTGTTGAATACCAGTATGTTCACTGAACAGCAAAGGGAGAGAATTGCTATTATTTGTCCAAACTTAAGAAGAGAAGGAAATCCTGACGTTGATGGCTCTGAGAAACTGACAGGAGATTATACAGATATCGAAAAAGCTTATTGTTACTTTAAAGACGTCCTTGCAGGCAACGACCAACACTATGATTTCCTGCATTCTGAAAGTAAGAAAGGTTTGGAAGATGAAAATGGTCTGAATACCAAAGAAATGAATACACTTACAGTTCCATCAGCTATCTATGAATATTTCTGTCATACATGCAAAGAACAGATTAAAGAAATGCATAAACGTTTTGGAGTGTGGGTAAAAAGTAAGGATTGTTACAATGGGAACACATCAATATCCTTCCTTTCTGATACAAGTCCCACGTCAATACGAAGAGCTATTGATTTTTTTACCAGCGCTTTTCAGAAGGTTGCCAAAGATGTGGCACAGGAAGACATTCCCATAGCAAACATTCACCAGTTAGATGAGACAATAATGAAATTAAATGCTAAATTTACTAATCTTCTCATCAAACAGAAAGATAATCAGTTGCTCCTCCGTGGTCCAAGAAATGAGATTTTAGCTGCCAAAATATTTCTAGCAGAGGAAAAGGGGAACAACCAAGATGAAAAGGATACCAAAATACCTGAACTGACCACCAACGGGAATAGAATTGAAGTTGATGCTTCTGTGTTTAAGCTGTTGGCACCTGTGTTGAGAAAAGAAATTGAAGACATTGAAGAAAGCTTTGATGTTGTAATAGAAAAGACAGACAGCTCAGGTGGCCAGAAGGTGCTCTTAGTATTTAAACCTAGGAACAAAACTTCTGATATGCTTTTACATTCTATTGAAAGTTTCATCAATGGATTTCAGAATGCCTTTGCAATGCTAAGAAAAAAACTTGTCAGCTGGAAGCTTTCAGAACAGCAGAAAAGGAAATTAAATATGCTTCTGGATGAAAAGAAGTTGGAAAGCCTGTATGTAAAGCTTAAGAAGAAGGAAGACAAATTAGTTTTATATGGTTTACCAAACTATGTTCATGCTGCTGAAAAGCACATTATGTACCTTCTCAATGCTGAAGAGCCTTCAGAAACTAAAAAAAGGACACCACTGCCCTCTGATCTCAACAACCAAGAAGCTTCAGGAGTGTGGGAGAAATACGGTGCCAGGGAAAAGAGTAGTTACTCTTCCATGGAACAGGCTAAGGCAAAGACAGAAGACACCGATGATACGTGCCCTATTTGCATGGAGAAAATTAATAATAAAGAGATCCTGACAAAATGCAAACATGCGTTTTGCAAAAGTTGCATCAAAATGGCTTTGGAATACAAGCAAACTTGTCCTGTTTGTAATACTGTCTATGGAGTCATGCAAGGAGATCAACCAGAGGGAAGAATGCAGTATAAAAGGATTTCTACACCTCTCCCTGGCTATCCCGGTTGTGGTACTATCGAGATTGAATATGTTATGCAGAGCGGTATTCAAACTGTAAGTATATTTGAAGATTCATGAAGTATACTTTTCCCCCCAGCAAAACCAGTGCTGAGTGCAAAATTCAGTGTTTTTCCATCATATCTGAGCTGGAGAGACATTACTGTCTTCCGTACAAGTCTGCAAGTATGTAGTTCTGTAATTTTGAGTGCAATGAAGTCATGTTGTAGGGATCGCACTGGTAGCCCTCCATTTTGTATGTGGCAGGAATGAGATACCTGTCTGAAAACTGTATATTCAGAATAACTGCACTGAAATCTATGGAGCAGTATCACGTAAGTCACGTTGCGTCCTGAATGCATCAAAGATGGAGATAGAAAGTGCTGTAAAAGCTGGGATTGCAATTGCCACACTTGCAGAGAATTTGTGATATACAAAGTGTTTTTCTTTTGTTTTTCTACAAAACAGCAGAACCATCCAAACCCAGGGAAACCTTATTGTGGAATTATTCGGAAGGCATATTTGCCTGACAATGAGGAAGGGGTGAAAGTTCTGCAGCTCCTCAGAAGAGCCTTTAACCAAAAACTGATTTTCACAGTGGGGAATTCACGTACTACTGGTGCAGAAGATGTTATCACATGGAATGATATTCACCACAAAACCTCCATGTATGGTGGACCTGTGAAGTAAGTAGTCTTCTTGTTCAGTTATTATAGAACTTGTCAGTGGTAGCAGGAAGGCTTCCCTGTATATTTTATACACTATACCTTTCAGATTGCCAATGGCCCTGCAAGCCACTAGCAAATCTTATCAGTTGTGGATTATTACTTACGCAGTGATTGTGGAAGTACTGTGGATCCAGACTTGAACCATTTTCATAGCCTTTATAATGCTTTGTCAATGATTTACAGCTCGCTTCTGTGACTAATTGGGGTGGGGCACCCACAGACCCACGCCTCAGGAGAAGGGGAAAGGGAAGAAAGGCAAAAGGTATGAAGATGGGCCTGAAAACAGAACAGTGGCAACGAGCTAAGGGAAAAAACTAATTGACTGAATATGGTAGCAGTATGCAAGATAACACAGTAATACAATGTAATTGGAATTGAGGTTAATAAATCAAAGAAAATGAGAGTGTCCAAAACCGAAGGCCTTACCATAATGCTGAAGGCAAGATGGCTAAGGGAGCACACACTGCAGAGAAGAGCAGTAAGAGACGTCCTGTGACTTGTGAGCGGTTTTACCTTTCCCTCTAAATGGAAAAAGGAACGGTGAAAGTCTTCTGGGAGATGTAGTTCTTCTCTTTTGAGAACCAAGTGCCCAGAAATACCAACAGTCGATGCAACTGGAGCATTAACTCTTTAACTCCCAGTGCTCTACGTGATGTTACAGTATGGAATACTGATAACAAAAAATCATAAAACCATGATGTGCTTCTGGTTTAGTTTAATTCTGTTGCTTATAAAAACAGGCACTGGAGCACAGCTATCTGTTGAACCTGGCGGTGGTGAGAAAGCACAGGAACAGATTATCTCTGGAAGGAAAATAGATGTAACAGTCCTATGTCTCTCAAGCATGTCTCAGAAAGAACCATTCCTTGATGGTTACTTTCTGCCTTTAAGTCTTTCTGTCTTAACCATTTCCATGGAGAGAAATATTGACAGTGTATGATCTGGTGCTTTTTTTGTGCACAACAGTGAACACTTTGGTAAAATATTGGTTCATTTTGTAGTAACGCGCAAACCTGCGTGTCAAAACTGGGCATGTTTTAGTACTGAGAGCATAAATATGTCGCTTTCACATCTCAGGCTCCAGCCTGGAGATGAGAGGGAGGCTTGGAACAGTCTCTTCAGGGTTGTTACAGCCTCTCAGAGTCAGATGTCTTCCTGCAAGATCTAAAGGTTTGTGCTTGGAGTTACATTCTCCCTCCTGGGTGAGGATCATTAAAGAACAATAAGTTGTGTTTTATCCCCCACTCTGCTCATTGCTCTCTTCTTTCTTATCACCTGCTTCATACACAGGTTTGTTGATGAGCCATCTGAAAAGCAGAGGTGCCATTATGTTTGCCTTTTGAAGTCTCACACAGAGACCCCTTCTGTTAAAACCTGTTCTTAAGAAAAGTGCATACCCAAATGCCCAGTCATTTGCTAGTGAGACAGCTGGCAGCATAGAAAATGAGGCTCCTAGGGTCAGCTTGGGCAGCCAAATTCAGCAACTGTTTTGTTTTTAGTAAGCTTTTAGCTTTACTCTTTCTGTACCATTTATCTCACTTGTAACATGGAGTCTGTCTTCTCTATAGTGAGAAGCACATGCATAAAACTTGTGAATTATTTTAAGACATTCTGATGAGCAAGTTTTGTAGAACTGCCAAGTGCCTCACTGTACAGGTATCCCAAATTATTCTTTTCTTCTTCTAGTTTTGGTTACCCTGACCCTGATTATCTGAAGAGGGTTCGATCAGAACTGAAAGCAAGAGGAATTGAGTAAGGAAATGTACCAGCTGTCAACTCTGAAGTGTGATAACTCAACATGCAGCAGTTCTTTTACTGTTCTGGCACTACAAAGAGAGAAGTTGGTCTGTTCAACTGCTATACTTAAGTTACTTGTATTTCCCTGTGAGCTAAGAAAGTAATCTTTTCTGGTCAAACTGTGTTTGTTCCCTTTGTACGACTTGCTTCTGTGAACAGTGCTTCCCTATATGTACTTCCTCCCTTACAGGATTCGGGACCTGTGAGTCCAGCATCTGTCCTTGCACTCATCAGACAGCAGGTTGTGTGTCGTCTTCTCATTTTACCAGTGAATCTGATCTGCAGTTTTTCCCACAAGCCTTCAGCCTACGTGCTGGAGGATTTTTATGTGTGTGATGCAGTATCAGCTGTACATGGCCATCATCTTTTGCTGCTTTTTCTTTCCAGGGTAGAAATGGCATTAGTGGTGTGGCACTGAGAATGGTGTGTGATAGACTTTTTGTTTGCTGCTGTGTTGTTAACTGTGTCCAAAAAATGCTGAATGCTCGGAGAGCCTCCTTGCAACAAAAGGAAAGTGACAGTGCTTATGGCCAGCTCTGGTAATGAGCTTCTGACTCTGTGCCTCTTATTGTATTTAGGCTTAAACATCGCTTTTAAGTCAGCTTTGCGTGTAACAACACTGTTCTTCCCATTGCTTCCAACAAGTTTAAAACTTGTTGTTGTTTAAACTTTCAGTTTAAATTCTGTAATAAAAATATAATGCCATTATTGTTGCTGTTTGAGTAGGCTGCCAGTTGCCTCTGTGCTGGTGGAAGACAGGTTTTACCTGAGTAGCCGTAGTTTTTAATGAATCTAACTATTTGTATAGGCCATTGTGTGTAATAAATAAAATTACCACCTGCTGACTGTTGCTTTCTTCAGTAGAATATATCCCTCCTCTTTTAGAGGCATTTTGTTATACATATATATTATTTAGGAGCTTCCTAGCAAACAAAGTGATTTGGACCATTCTGTCTGTGGCTGAGAGCCAGCAGAGGAGGAAGAGTTCTCTCAGAGGAAGTTGCCAAGCCTTTATAGAATCACAGAATCATTAAGGTTGGAAAAGATCTCTAAGATCATCCAGTCTGTTGCATGCATGTTAGAACAACAACGGGTGTTTGTGCTGTGCTTGTTGCTTCTGATGTATTAATGTCTGTTGGGCTGTGTTAAGCCCACCAAACTGGGTGAAGACCATTCAGAAATGGAGCAGTTGGATATGGAACAGAGCCCCAAATGTTCTCCTCCGGGATGCCTTTTAAACCTCTGGTAAAAGTTTGGAGGAGGTCTGCTTACATGTAGAAAATTGAGTGTTGTAATCATTGGTGGACGGTGTATAGGCTTGAAGATGAGGAAAAACGGCCCACTCATGGGTTGATTAATGATAACACAGTGTTGCAGTTGATGCTATTCTGTAGAAAGGGAGGGAAATGGGACGAGGTCCCCCACGTGGATTTATTCTTTGAATTAAGAAATCACATGAAGGCTCTCAAGGACTGTGGGTTACTTTCAAGAGACCCTTCAGCAGCAGTGTGGGAGAAGGAGCAGCCGAGGGCTCTGAGGAAACGCTGTTTTGCAGGTAGCGTTGGGGAAACGTGTATTAGACGGGCACCCGGCGAAGGGTTGGAATTGTTGCTGAGTCCATCCAGAGTAACTTCTGGGAAATGGAGGGGAGGTGACCGCAGCCGAGAGGCCGAGGACGGCTCGAGGAAAAGCGCCATCGTGCGGGGAGGGGGAGGAACTGCGCCTCCAGCAGGCTGAAATGCACTACCCCAAAAGCTGAGCGTCTGGGCAGTGCTGAACGTGCAGACGTTACACCAAGCAGTACAAGGGAAAGACAGAACCCCTCTGCCTTTTTTGATGGATTGATAGCCATAGCTAGAAAACATACCGATTTGGATCCAGAGGCAGAGAGGGGAGCTATGCAATTGGCATGAATTTTTATTGGTCATATTAAGTGAAAATTACATTAAATGGAGGGGGAGGACTATCCTAAATCAACTGCTAGAAGCTGCCTGGAAGGTGTGTCACAGCAGAAAGAAGGTGGAGAAGGCTAAGGAAAGGAAGGAGAAAGGAAGTTGCTAGTGGGGCCAGAGCACAGAGCACAGGTCACAGAAGGCGAGAAGGGATCAGTGTTTTAGGAGGCAGCCTGGACCTGGGATGAAGAAGCCAGGTCCTCAATGTGTGTGTTTGGATACTGGAAAATGGAGTGCCCAGAGCAGGCACTGCTAAGGCAGGGCACCCAGGATCCTGAGCAGGGTCCTGAGCCTCACCCTGCAGTTTAACTTGAGGACTCTGTGAGAATTGGTGGGGATCGAGGGTTTAGAAATAGCCCCACTGTTTGTGAGAACCAATTAGCAAAAGAGTTGGAGGCCTGGCAGGAGAAACACGAGGGAGTGACCTTCTTGGAGTACTGTATGGGATCTGCAATATTCCCTATGGACCGCAGTTTAATGGTTAGGTAAAGAGGAATGATCAGAGTTTGAAAATGCACCTGAGACCCCCTGTCTTACTGTAAGGGCAAAGGTGTCATTAGGAAGGGTTCTATCTTCTGACTGCAGGTTTGGACAACACACAGAGCTATGCAAATGGCCGGGGTGGAATTGTGGATTCCTTACACAAGGGTAAAGAAGGCACCTAGCCCACAGAGGCAAGTGGAACATCCTGTGCTGCTGAGGCTTACACGCAGATGAACACACTTTGCCCCTGAATGATGGGAATCGAGATTACCTTTCTTTAGTTTGTGATATTGTCCTTTATATAATCGCTTGTTGGAGATCTGGATTGTGATTGTAAATATGATGTGTGACAGTGGTTCTAGCTGTACTAACCACAGTGCTGAATGCCAGTATCCATTAGCAGGGCTCCCTATTTGCTCCGATGGTTCTGGGAGTAAAGTGTAGGGAAACTCCGCTGATAGACGACGCTGGCGTTGTCTACCAAAAATGAGATCCAAAATACCAAAATTTTCCTGGATGTGGGGATGTAACCCGCGGGATGGGCGGAGCAGGGCGGTTCCGCTCTCCCCGGCGGAGAAACGAAAGCGAAAGCGGTGCGGCGGAGGGGCAGCGCAGCCATGGCGGGGCCGCGGCCGGGCTCCTTCCCGCTGCTGGTGCGCGGGGATTGGGGCACCGCGGAGCCGCCGGCCGCGCTGCGCAAGAAGCTGCTGCTCTACTTCCAGAGCCCGAAGCGCTCGGGCGGCGGCGAGTGCGAGCTGCGGGTGGGACCCGGGCAGCTGCTCGTCTGCTTCGCCCAACCCGACGGTGAGCCAGGATGGAAGGGGGGGCTGTGGCCACAGCGGTGCCGGCCGTGTGGGGGCAGCCCCCCACTGACGGGTGCGTGCTGTGTCCGCAGTGATGCGGCGGGTGCTGGACCGGCCGGCGCACGAACTCGAATGGGGACCCCGCGGGAAGCTGTCGCTGCTCGTCACCGCGCCGCCGCAGGAGGGCGCCCGTTCCCCGCAGCAGCCGCCCGCTGAGCCCGAGACGCCAGGTAAGCGGCGGGGCGGGGGTCCTTCGGAGCTCGGTGCTGCGTGACGGACGCCTCTCGCCCGCCGCCCCCCTCCTTCCTGCCGGGGCTCCGCGAGCTCAGAGGGCGCTCCTACAGCCGCGTGGTTGGAAAAAAAGGCAAAATATTTCAGCGTGTGACTTTGCGTGAAAAGAAGCGAATTTCACGCCGCGCTAGCTCTGGAGTACGCGCACTGAGCTTTGTCTTCGTCACTTACGCAGCGGCTGAGAGTGCGCTGTTATCTGCAGCTGACGAGCCCGTGCCGTCTGTGCCCACCCTCGCTGAGCACGATGCCGCCGCGGCCGCAGGATCGGGGCTGTCGCCGCAGCGCCCACCGCCTCAGGAAGCGCCTCCGGAGGGGCACGGTGAGTGTTAAGGATACCCGTACAAGGACCTTCCCGGCTGCCGCCAGCAGCACCTCCTCCGTGGGGCAGCGTAAAGACTCTGTCCCACCTTGGTTTGTTCTTTAGGGGAGGCTGAGCTGCGTAGATCACAGAGTTGTTTTCATCCTGATGCAAACTTTTGATGCAATTTTGCCTCATTTGTGTTTCTTCTTCCATATGAGGAAAATATGTCAAAGTTTCCTGCCCAGGGTGGGAAGAAGGGGAAAATGGCATTTTTCTTGTTTGTTTCTGCACGGAGCTAGGTGCCCAAGAAGCCTCGCAGTGGGAGCATCCATCAGCTGAGAAAACCGAGCTGGTTGTGGAGCCTGGTCAGATGGAGGCTGCCCCAGAACCGTGGCAAATGGAAAGCTCTGAAGCATCCCTTCCTTCCCCCTTAATTGTGCTTGAAAACGTACGGGAAACCATAAGCAGTTTCATGTTAACCATGCTGGTGGAGAACATCAGTGACTTGTCAGAGGAAGATGGTGACTTCACTGTGGAAATGATTCCTGAACTGCGGGCTGCTGTTGTTGCTTTTACTGGAAATGCTGGTAAGGAGGAATCTGGATTATGAGTAATTATGAGTTTTTCTTGCCTTGCTGCTTTTGTGTTCGTAGGAGGGAGTCCGAGTGGGAAGCAAACAATGTCTCCTCTCATGGGCTTAAGGAAAAGTCTCATATAGACTCTTATAGACCCAGCCCTCATTTCAAGGGATGCAATCAATGAGGTCTTTTATCTGTAAGGTATAAAGGCCAGTGAAAATAATGAATAGAATATGGGTGGGGCTGAAAGTCAGCTGTATACAAGCCATTAGAGGATACGGTGGGTCATAGAACAGATCAGTGATAAAGGTTCTACTTGCCAAAGTGTGTTGTGTGTAATAAGTTTGCATGGATTTAAGAGAAAACTGAACTGGTTAGGACAGAACCTTGTAAACACCACATCAGGCCTGCAGAACCTACTGTACTAAAAATTGGTTGGAGGTATGGAGAGAATTAGGGAAGCAGTAGCATCTTAAAGCTGTTCCCCAGATGCCTGCTGTGGAATTAAACCACATACTCACCTGATGCTGCAACACCAACTAGTTGTGGAGCAACTGCATGCTCATGGTGATTTGTTATTGTGGATTTGTTTTCTTTTTCTGCTTTATTGGTGATCATGATGCAGGCATCATCCAGGTGAGAGAGGGATTTGTCTGCCTCTGCTTCTCACCAGAGAGAAACTGAGGGGTGTTCTTGTTCCTGCCAAGACTTATGGGTATTGTTATATATATGGGCTTCAGTAAGTGGTACAGTGAGACTCAGAAAAGCTGTAAGCCAGCACCATGGCTGATGATGATGTGGAGTTTTCAGAAGAAACTGATTAAATTGACAGCAGGAAACTGATTGCATCTGTGACTGATGCTCTGCTTGAGCCCTTAGAAGAACACAGTGATTTGGGTTGAGGAGAGGTCAGGTTGGAAAGAAAGAAAACATTTTTCTGTGCAGGAAAGACAGAATGTCTCTAGAAGGCAGGATGTGATGAAAAGAAGTGATATGTGAGTCTCCATCAATTTTGTGGGAATGGCTGTAGTACTAGTAACACGTAGGAATGGAGTTGCTCTGAAATCTTGAAGTTGTCAAAGAATTAGTCAGTGGCATAACTAACCAAATAAGCTTTTCATCTTTGAAAAGCTCATAGAGTTTTCTGTTGTAGAAGATAGAAAGGATTTGCCTGTTTTCCTGGCCCATTCCCAAATTTTTGGTGTAGACTTGAGAAAATATGTGGATCCTTTAAAACACTTAGATACGTGTTTGCCTGACCGACCTAGAAGTGGCTAGCCTGGTTTTTAGCATGATGATAACAGGGTGGGAAATAGCAAAAGCATAGAACGAATTTATCATAAAACTGAAAGAACCAATATTTAAACCCAACTTCCTTCTGACTGTGTATTAATGAATTTGAATTTCACTTTCTTTTGGGGTTGAAGAGATCAAGTGCTACTGAACAAAGTCTGAGAGAGCTTTTGGCTGTGGTAGATGTGCCTCAGTAATTGTGACCAACCATTTGGTGAATGATAGATAACAGAAACTATTATCTATTCACACTGGATGTGTGGCAAGATGTAGCTGTATGGGCACCGCTGTGTTGACAAATGGCTTGTAATGCAGTGACAGCCCAATTATATCATAGCAGAGAATGAGCTGCTGGTTCAATCTTGGTTGGTTTTTCCTTTATTTCTCTTTCTAGCTACAGCAGACATTGTTAAGAAGTTAAATCGAAGCGAAAGAGCAAAGAAGCAGAACTTAAGTGCACGTCTCCTCGAGTTAACAAACTGTATTAGAGCTGAAAATATACCACCTAACACACCCAGTGACTATATATCCATCTACTTTGAGAACAAGAAGAATGGAGGTGCACAAGTGGTGGACGTTCTTCAACTGTGTGATGAAGGTGCAGCTATCATTACGTTCAAGAACCATCAAGGTAATGCGGAGGTGCTCAGCCCTTATTTCTTTGTGGTCCTTTCACTTAAAGACCCAAGTGTGAGTTTTCTGAAGAGATGGCTGCTTTGCTCTGATGGACTAGCATAAAGAAGCTGTGACTTGATAAAACGGAGTAGTAGCCCAGGCAACTGAGTTAGGCAGTTTGAGTAGAGTACAACAGATGGGGACAGAGGCAGTGCTGTGCTGTACATATTTTATCTTGGAGGTAGGCAGTGTTAGTTCGTAGCTGCCTCTTCCTAATTTAGCTTTTGGCATTTGAAACTAGTAACTCTTCAGTAATTTGGAGTTACTGCTGTCTGAAAAGGGAGGAGGATTCACGTAAAACTCTTCTTGCATGTGAACATTATAGTAAGCAAATATTTTTAAAGATCTTTGGGTTTACATGTTGGCAATAATAATGTTTTGTTTGTTTTAGATGTAAACAATGTCTTGTCAAAGCAGCACTCGCTCAGCAAAAGACCGATATCTGTCTATCCTTACTATGTCTCGCTGGGAACAGCTCTGTATGGAAAAGAAGGGCCACAAATAAAGAAACCAGATCCAGTTGCAGTGCCGCTGGACCCCTATATCTGGCAGTTCTTACGGAGAAAAAATAGCCTCATCGAAGCGATATGTTCTGAGATGGCAAATTGTCATTGTGAGATAGAATGGCCTAAAGGCAACTGTGCAGAGCCAAAAGTTATTCTGCATCCTTCAGCTGCTTTGTCTGAGAGGAAGAGATCAGTGGCTCAGTTGATCAGGACATGGAATGCGGTGGCTTCCACAACATTTTCATACAGCATATCGAAGTACAAAGTAGAGAAGCTTAAAGTAAGCGCAGAGGTGTGGGAAGTCATTAGAACCAGCATTAACCACAATGAACTTTTGATGATCTCACATCTTTCGAAGGATTTACTCGTTGTAATAGGCCACAAAGACATTCTGAAGAATGTTGTCCGAGAACTGAAATCGCAGATAGAAAAAGTCACCAGAGAAATTGAAAGAGAAAAGCAAACAACTGAAGAAATAGTGATTCTGAGTCCAGGGGATTTTGCAATTTTGCAGAACATCGGTCTTGAAGAAAGGATTCGCGTGGAATTCCCAACTCTGCAGCTAACTTACGATCATTTGCAGAAGATAATTAACCTATATGGACTGCGTGAGGAAGTTTATAAAGTGAAAGGGGAGATATTGGTTAATATGCAAAAAATGGCAAAAAAAAACGTTACTCTCCACCCTTTTGTTTTCCAGTTTTTACAGCGTATTGATAACGAAACCCTGTCACAGAGCCTGTTTTTGTCAAAACACATCAGTGCCTTTTATGAGCTTGGCCCAGATGCTGTCCTTCTGAAAGGAAATGATGACGAAACTCTCCTAAAAGCAGAAGAAGAGCTAAAGAAGGAACTGGACTACAAAAGCATTACTTTAGAAGATGAGTCCATCCTCCAGAAGGAGGAATGGACAGCGCTCACTGAGGAGAACTGCTGTAATGCAGCCGTAACAGTCACTCAGAAAGAGGGTGAGATCATTGTTGCTGGTTTTTCTCAAGCAGTAGCGAAAGCCTTTGAAGAGCTTTTTAACTTTGTAGATGAGAACACGCAAGTACAAAAAGTCATCGGAGGAAAGCCAACCGTAGTCCTAATGTACATCGAGAAAGAGAGGGCCTCTGTCTTGGATGACTTAAAGAATAAAGGTGTGAAAATTGACTTCAGTAAAGTTATATCCTTGAGCGGACCGAGAAGAGAGGTGCTGAAAGGAACTACCCTGATTGAGCAAATGCTGTCCGGGCTGCATTACAAGCGTGTGGTAATTAATGAGCCAGGAGCCAGGTCGTATTTCAAAGAAAGAGAACGTTTTTTTGCTGCCAGTGTGAAACATGAGTGTAACTGTCTAATCAGACTGGAAGAGCAGCCAGAAGAGTATCTGGAAGAACAAAAAGCACACACTAATGTAGGCAAGCGCTATACACAGATGACAGTGCAGGGAGTTCTAATAGAGGTTTATAAAGCCAACTTGTGCACTCATCACGTTGATGTTGTGGTGAACGCTTCAAATGAAGACTTGAAACACATTGGTGGCCTTGCTTGGGCACTGCTCCAAGCAGCTGGCCCAGAGCTGCAGGCTGAGTGTGATGAAGTGGTGAGGAAGAACGGGCGTCTGCAGGCCGGGTGTGCGGTGATCACAGGAGCGGGGAAGCTCCCCTGCAAACAGGTCATCCATGCTGTTGGGCCCCGGTGGAAGGAGCAGGATGCAGGAAAGTGTATGCACTTGTTAAAAAAGACCATTAAAATGAGCCTGCAGCTGGCTGAAACGTATAATCATCGCTCCATAGCTTTCCCTTCTGTAAGCGGAGGGATTTTTGGCTTCCCGCTGCACAAGTGTGTAAATGCAATTGTGTCAGCCATCAAGAAAACCCTGGAAGAATTCAACGGGAAAAGCAACTTGAAGGAGATTCATCTTGTGGATATCATAGAGGATAACGTTCAGGCTTTCATCAAGGCACTGAAAGAAGTGTTTTCAGATGATGTACCTCTTAACGACCCCGTGCAATCTCTTAACACTCAGACCGACATTGTTCGTCAGCCTAGCAAAAGGACAGCTTCTCAAAGTGGCATGAACTTTGCATTGGTAACAACTGAGGAAGGCCTTGACATCATGCTGAAAAAAGGAAGCATTGAAGATGTCACAGTAAGTGTTTTGAGTGGCTGTTTGTCCGGGCTGATGTGAAGCACATTTTTTTTAAATATGTAAAGGGGAAAAAACGAAACAAAACTTTAAAAAGAAAGTACAGCAAACAGAATCCCTGTGTCCATCATCTGGATGTCCTGATTGCAAGAATGCAGCCAAAATACGGTGCTTGTGCAGAGACTAAAGCAGGCGCCCAGTGCCACTTAAGGAGTGTCCTGCCACAGGAGGGCAGCTTGACTGCTCTTGGACCCACCGTGTCCCATAGCAGCACAGCTGATCCATGCCTGTATTGCTGAGTCCTCAGCCCAAAGCTGCCCGGCTCACCCTGTGCCTGTAGAGTACTGACCGGGGGAATGGGGAATGCAGAATTATAACTTTTTGTTCTGTCACGTTGAAATGTATTCCTCTGTTAACGCAGCTTCTATACTGCTTCAAGCAGGCTCATGGTGCCAGAGCTAAGCATATGTCTTCTCTATTTTGTTCCAAAGCCTTGTTAACTCCAATTGCTGCCCTAGAACTTTACTTGCAAATCAGCAAGTAAATCTACTTCATGAATTGATGCAAACCTTTAAAATCTTTACTTAAAGCTGGAGTTATTGCTTGTGTGTTTTTCAGACAGATGGTGTTGTCATCAGTGTTGGTGGAGATCTACAGCTTGAGAAAGGACAACTTGCTAAAGCCTTGCTAAGCAAGGCAGGACCAAGGCTTCAGGCAGACCTACATGACGAAGGCCTGGGAAAATCACATGGTGAAGGATCTGTGTTCACAACAAAAGGTTACAGTCTGAGTTGCAGTTATGTGTTTCATGCTGTCGCACCTAGTTGGTCAGAGGGAAGTGAATCTGCAGTGAAGGTACAAGAGTTTTTATTTACTTAAACTCTTAATTTGAATGGGCTTTATAGAAAATTTAATGCAACTTCTTTGAAATGAGAGAGGCTATCCTGGGATATGAGTGAGTTTGGGCTATTTATTTAACTGTATTGCTCACACCTTGTTGTCTATCATGTTCTTTCTGATGTGCATAATTCCATGCTAAGAGACAGTACTTTCCCTTTTAGCTAAATTGCACATTCCAGAAAAACTAACTTTCAGTAATGGAAAAAATAATTGTGCTTTACAGATCTTGGGCCGGATCGTCACAAAATGCCTGCAATCTGCTGAGGAACTATCTTTGAAGTCCATTACTTTCCCAGCGATTGGAACAGGGATCTTAGGTTTCCCAGGTTTTGTTGTTGCTAAATTGCTGTTTGACACGGTGTATGAGTTCAGTAATAAAAAGAAAACCAATTCTCTTCGGGAAGTTCACTTTCTGTTGCATCCAAAAGATGTAAATAATCTTCAGGTGAGTTCCCATGCTTTTCTCTCTCAATTACATGCTATTCTGTTTGGACCTATCTCGTGGTATGTGGCCATGTGTTGTTCTCCGGAGAATCTGCAGGCTGCTTGTTGTCATATAAAGCATAGAGCAGTTTGCTGACAATCTCTTTTGCACGTAGCTTGTCCTGTACAGCCCTGCTTGCTTCCTGTCCTTTTCTATTCCTGGTAATAATGCAGATGAAAGTGTAATTACTCTTTTTATCTTATGAACTTGCTTGATTCTTCAATACGTAGGGCTCACCTGCAGACAGACCTGCTGCAACTTCTGCATAGATGTCTTCACTCTTGGGAAAGGAATACTTTCCACGGGTTTAGATCAAGTCTAAGAAGAATAATGATGTTAGGATTGCATGCTGGTAAAATTCTCCAGTGGAAAACAAATCAGTATTCTGCATCCCACTTTTTTTCAGTGTCACATTAGAACAGGTTTCTCTGCTTTTACTCACAGTCACTCCTTGTTAGTGCGAGGGTTGACTGTAGTTTCCTTTTCTAGGCATTTTCAAATGAATTTGAGAGACGGTGTGGCAATGATGTAGATGAGGCTAGCGAAGGCACAGGTAAGTTTGTTATTATTATTATTAACTTTTAAATTTTCCAGGTGGCGTATTCATGATAGATACTTAGATAAGTGATGAACATGCTATTCCCAAAGTCCAAGTGCGTGTTGTAAAGGCAGTATGTAGTATTTTCAGGATGAGCATAATGTCTGAAACAGTGCTGGCGATGCTAAGGAAAAAACATTCTTGTGATTCATTATCTGGATGTAGTGTCCACACAGTAAGGATAGCAGAAGGCACAAGTGAGGTTCTTTTCTTTTCCTGCTGCAGTCTTCCCTTTTCTTCTGGGAAGAACTAGTCAGTTCCTGGTTATGTGTCTTAACGGGGCCTCTTTGGAATGCTCTCAAAGCTACAGTCAGATCAACAGGGAAACCAACCTGAAATGTCTTCAGTGCTGTCCAGTCTAATGGGGCTGCAGAGCGTAGAAAATGAGTATTTGTTGAAAACTCAATCAAGTTTTCAGAAATAATGCATAGACTAAAAGTTGCTGTCATGTGTTAGAGAACCTGCCCAAAAACTCCCTTTGAGACAGGAGCAAAGGAGTGAGATTTCTATAGCAGGAATGTGGTAAAACAAGTTTGATTTTTTTGCTACTATTTCAGCGTAAATAGCGATGATGGGAGAAAGTGAATGTTGGTCTGAGAATCCCATGAGAAGGAATGATTTTCAGTTACTGATGTGGGCAGTGTTCTCACAGGTGGAGTCCAGAGATGAACTGTGGTCTCTGCAGGCACTGTACCCATGAATGCTCCTCTGCTCAGTGTCTGTATTTCTGTCCTGCAGCTTTCTTTGGTCCCGTTTTAAACCCAGCACAGGATGTATATGAAATGACAATTGGCTCCATCAAGTTCCAGGTGGCCGCTGGTGATATTACCAAGGAAACTGGAGATGTCATTGTAAACATATCAAACAAATCTTTCAACCTCAAAACAGGTATTTCAGTTGGTATTATGTGTGGATATAGTGCTTGTGGTTGGGAGGACTAGACAAGGTGAGTGGGAAGCTTTCTTGTTATTCTGAGCTACTGGATAATGTGTTTTAAGACTTGCAGAAAAGTGAAATTAATAACTTGAGTTTTTCAATAGAATCTTTTCACAGAACATCTTGTAGAGTAAAAAAGATGAACCTTATTGTGGTTTTTACCTCAGTGAAACTTTTTAGGTTTATCAAGATGTCTTTTTTTTTTACTTGAAAAGCATAAGCCTGAAATTTAAACAATACTATCTAATTATAATGTGTGCTTTTTCCAAAAATGAGAGAGAGTATGGAGTATTCTGATTCTGCCTTAGGCAGGAATTAACAGTACTAACTGTGGAATCGTATTCTTCTTCTCATTTAAGGTGTCTCTAAAGCAATTTTGGAAGGTGCTGGGAAAGAGGTTGAAAATGAATGTGCTGAACTAGGTACGGTGCAACTTTTCTGCCCTTTCTGAAGGCTCGCTTGCATGACGGGGAGTTGGTTGGAATTCTTTCTCAGTGCCTGCTGTACACCAATCTGTCTTATGCACTGTGTTACATCACCTATCTTTAATCAGTTAATGTGATATATGTAAAACATCTAGCAAGGAAGGGAAGAGGTATTTTCAAGTCAAAAGAGAGCATCTAAACCTTTGTAAAGGACAAGATCTCCCTATGATTGCATCCTCTAATTCCAGTAAAGCTTTTAAGTGATGTAGGCAAGTCCACAGAGAAGGCAGGTGTGAGTTGGGGGTGATGTTAGAGGAACTCTTAATAGAGAAGCTATGTTTCATTGGGAGTAACTCTGTGCCTGCAACTTCTTTTCTTATCCCTGAGTGAAAAAATGTTTGCCGTTGTCTTCAACAGCAACCCACTACTGTACCCTCTGCAGGACTAAGAGGGAAAATCTTTGCATCTGGGTTCCTGCCTTAAAAGAGGC